ATACACTTGATTTAATATAACAAAATATAAACCTTATAAACATTAATAGTTTAAATATAATAGTTTAATTATATTATTGTATATAAATTCACGTGACATGTATAAATAATTACAATATCAATTAGAAAATTCGTGTAACCTGATCGGCCAATCACATGAAAGTCCTCCTATGAGGTGTAGCCTGCTAAATAATTTTGTATTACATAGAATAATCAGTTGTAAATGTTGTTTTTTTTATAACAGTTTAGTTATTTTAAATTTTTTATTTGCAATTTACAGTTTTATTTGTTGCAAACATTACAGAATTACGTGTATTTGACAAATTTGTTTATTTATCAATTATAAATATTAATATTTTAGCAAATATTTATTATAATTATTTATTATTATATAGATAAAGAAAAATAGGCTATAAATGTTGAATGAAACTGTTTTATATATTCGTTAAAATATTTCAATAATTCAGAAAATAACTGATTTAATAATTAATATGTATAGTACATGATATTTGTTAACGCATAATCCAGTGTCTTGAATATGCACATCATTTGGTATGGATAATGATTTAATATTTATACTTAGACTTATACTTAAGTTATAGGAAGAATAGTCACGCTTTTGGCAGCAGAAGACTAACCAAAATTATACTGATACCTTCCAAATTTGCCGATTACATCCTGATTTTGATAAATCAAATCAACGTAAAATATTAAACATATGTTAAATAATAATAATAAATTCGTAATTTTGACGAAACTGAGAATTTATTATAAAAACGAATTCAATTTTTGCTTTAAAAAAACTACTAATCTTTCTAACGTTAATACTGAAACAAGTCATTTTATAAAAAAGCAAATAACTGGTAATTAAAAATGTTTCTTTCCACTATTGAATTCATTTGTGAGCTATTGATAAGACTTATCATTGGTCATTTGCTCCATTATAAAACATATATTTAACTCTGCAATATAAATCAAAAGCTTGAAATAGCAATTCAAGCAGTCGAATTAAATAAAACAAAAATTAAATCTAAATCCAGCAAGCTACCAATAAATGAAAATATGCAGATGATATTGAAAATCTATGAAAAGATTTTAAAAAATTCTTTGATACGAAATCTAAGCTGGATTTAGACTTTTCATTTACCAAAGTGGCTACTCAAATCTGTAAATTATGTGAAGAGAAAGGCATTGCCAACTCTAGACTAAATAACTTTTATCAACAAAAAACTAATCTGCAGAAAATAACTGTTGAAGCAATACAAGAATAGGTTGATAAAAAAAAAGGGAAGGAAAATGATGATGTTATAATAATGATAATGATAATATATAATATAGATTTTACTAGCGCGATTAAAGTATAAGAATACTTATTAATAGCTTTGGGTCTAAGTATTTTCTCCTATGCAATCGCTCTGGTAAATATGTAAAAGTTGTATATACTTTGTTTAAGAGAGTAATAAAGAGTATTGATTGTTATAACTATTTTTTGCAATTCAAATTCAGTTATCCATTATCATATGACTCATTAAAATATGCATGTAAAAAACAATTGCTTCACTTCTAAAAGCAGAATTGTATTACGTAGTAGCAGAATACAACTATAATGTAATATGTAAAGAAGCATATAAAAGAGATTTTTACTTTGTCTTCATTTACTCTTTGTCTCTAACAGAAGTATGAAGAGTTCCCAATCTATTTTGCTAAGTGTATTAGACCTGACACTTGTAGTTGATTCGACGCTTCAATATGAAGAAGTATCACATATTTGTGTAAGTAAAATGTATAAATAAGGTTGAGTTAGGTAGGCGCAGATTGCGACTCTTCTTTTATCATTCTCATTTATCATCATACAACAATTAGACATGGACATGGACTACTTATTTGAATTTAGTCGCTTTTACGTGAAGACTTCTTAACAGCGAATGAGAAGGAGCTTGAAGATGAATACAACAAGTATAAAGACTTCTTTGTTAAATACCATCATAAAAATTCCACAGCAACCACCAATTGTTATAAAGAATATCTTCAAACAATTGGCAAGCAAGGTAAGCGATACATATTTATTGGAAGAATAGAGGAATAACAGGGAGAAGAGTTTGAATACCGTTACTGGATTTATGCTATTTGTAAGAGAGGTAGTTGGAATGTTATTAGTTGAGGTAGAGTTAGATCATAGCAGAGCAAAGGTATATATATATAAACTCATTTCAAGGAAGATAAGAAACAGTATGGGTTAATAGAGGAGCAGTGAAGAGAGAATAGTTCAATTATTGAGAGGATAATTGAAATGAATTATGATATGCATTAGAGGTGAGACATAGAGCAGAGTCATAACAAAGGTAAGGTTATATATAAACTTGTTTGAAAGGCAAATAAGCAAGATATGATACGTTTGGGTTAAGTAGAGTAGGAAAAATAGAGGAGAATAGTTTGAATACTATTATCGCATGCATTCTATATGTTCATCTTCTTATTATATTCCATCTTGTTCATCTTTAAGAAATGTTGACAAATTCTCATTATCCATCATTCATATACCTTTATCTATCCATTTGAGAAAGTTTATATACTAATAACTTGTGCTGTTTGCAAAATTGACTAACTTATACTTTTTTGAATTCCCTTTTATCTCCTGTTAAACCACCTTTTTAGGAGAAGGTAAGCACTTAATCAATGCATGTTTCATTTATATTGAGGGTACAAATATATTATCTCCATTTGCTTACCATAATTTGCTTCATCATATAGATATAAAGTTGCCGTATATATCAAGACTAGGTATGATTACTTCAATATGTGTTTGTATCATTTTCATTTTAACCTATCCTAATAATTCACTCTTTTATAGGAGATCTTGGTGGAACTACATACATGAGAATTGAAGAAAATTGAGTTAGTAATTATGAAAAAATCGATCTTAACAGTTCTGATATCTGCTGCTGTGAGCAGACAATCTGAAAACTTATCGAAAAGATCCAGAACGCTAGTGTTTTACTCATTCAATCTTCACTCATGTCTGGAAAGACATCGTTAGGCTAACTATTAGAAGAAAGCCTACTTAAAGATCCAAACATTCGTGTTATTCGTATCTCACTCTTATGAATGGCATCTTAAGCAGATTCTGAACATTTGATGAGAGGTTTTAGCAACTTATAAGCATAACTTGAAAATAATTTTAAGATGAATGCGATCATATTTAGACTATATTTATTGTTGATGAAGTTCAGGTATAAATGTTTCTCATATGACATCTTTTATTTTGATTTTTTGTGGATTCTAAAATTAGTGAATTTTAAATGCTTTATATTGTCAGCGTTGAAAATTTGTCCTAGAAAAATGATTTACAAAGATATTAGATTTAATTTTATGTAGATCATATTAAGAAAGATCTTGATTGACGTATTGCATTAGAAAATCATTTAATTTGAAGGATTTATAAAATTCACCTGATTCGCTTGTTTCTTCTGTATTTTCTAAACAGTCTGTT